AGATTTTCGTGACCCACCCCCCTGTCCAATCCAACCTCTTCCACCCTCTATTCTCAGTTATTTTTTGGAATAGCGCATTTCGCCACCATAATATATAGATACAAACCCTTTTCCACATGCCCCCCACCCCAATCCCGCATGGCGTAAAATTTTTTATGGCACACCATACGTTCGGTTCTATCCACTGATTATGAAGGTATACAACACTGTAACTAACGTACCCAAAAGAGTTCCGATCACCCTTTTGGCGTCCTCGTTCCTCCGTTCGTACGAGTCCACGATACTGAACAGCACGACAGGGTGCACATGCACGCGCAATCCCAGGCTCTGGCCATCCATTTTTTTTTCTGAAAAAAGGAAAGAGGGACAGGTCAAAGTAACACTAGCTGCAGATTTGGTCGCCGATTCGAGGGAGACCTCTGCGTTACATAAAATTCTTATGGCAGAGAAATATGAGCAAATTTGCACACTAACCAAAGTTTTACACGTGCGATGTAGTTTTTTAGCCTCAGTTTTCCCCCATAAAATATCAGAAACGCCGGAAAAAAAGCAAATCGTTTGGAGACGCTGATATACCGAACGTCGGTGTGAGATCTTTCCGCCAGCGAAGGGAAGTTTGTTGACCTTTAACCCCTGGTTTGTCGTCTGGATCTGGAAAAACAAGAGTCGAAACCTACTGTATATATCCTGTGTGGAGGGCGTTTCTGGTGATTGGTAGGTTTTAAAAGTCGTCGTTAGCGCTCAGCATTGACGGTGTATTTTGAAGACATTGGAAATTAATGTTTATTTCCATGCTTTTTGGTTGAAGTTGGATGTTGACTGCCAGTTGTTGTTTATGACCAACCAAGGAATAGCCTGGTATCCAGTCTGATCGTGATTGGGGGTATTGGGGTGTTCAGGCAGGTTGTGTCTTCGGGGCCTCTAAGAGCTTTCCCCGCCCAGTGCAACAGGCAGTCCCGGTAGGAATCTCTCGTGAAATACACACAGGGAAGCTTATGTGAGATGTGAGGCGGGCGGGCCAGAGCTCTTGCGGCCCCGACCACGAATCAGACTGGATACCAGGCTAACCAAGGAAGCTATGGAATGGCTAAGTTTATACACAGGAAAAAGTATTCGTCACCACAAATTAGTCATTAGTAACTAGCAAGATGGGTTTAGGAAGATGAGTTGTTATTTGATCGGCAGGGCTGGCCCGTATCATTGATGAAGATGATGATGATGATGTTATGTCATCTCTGATGTAGGTTGATATATAGAGGACATGCCTCTGAATGATGGGAAGATGAGTTGTTACGTCATCCCTTCTGTTCAAACTGGAATATCTCTAATATGTCGTGTGATGATAGTATCTGTATCTGTATAGCCGGTATAACCACCCTTTGGCGTAACACACCAGCTTCGCAGGCACGCGGCGCGGCGGCAGCTAGCTATATCACACCGAACAGCTTGTTACACTCAATCTTTGCACATTTGATTGCAGGAGTTGTTTAAAGCTTCAATATTAAATGCTTAAAAGCTTAAATGATGCTCCAACTGTGCTTGGTGGCAACGAGTTCCAATCTACGATAGTTCTGGGGAAATACAAGTTTTTGAATACCTCAATTCTTGGTTGATAACTCTGATATTTGAAGGCATGACTGTTTTCCCTCTGCTGATGTAGGTTGCCGTACAGAGGGACATGCCTCTGAATGATGGGAAGATGAACTGGCCCCAGAACGGCCCGGATGACCAGGTCAGGAGCATGGTGACGGAGATCCCCCAGCCAGCCAGCAGGTACAGAACGCATGTTCCATTTGGGGTCACCAGTTGACATTGGAACAGGAAGCGTGTTCCATTTGGGGTCACCAGTTGACATTGGAACAGAACGCATGTTCCATTTTGGGTCACCAGTTGACATTGGAACAGAACGCATGTTCCATTTTGGGGGCACCAGCAGTCATTGGAACAGAATCAGTGTTCCATCTGGGGTCTCCAACAGTCATTGGAGCAGAATGCATGTTACCTGGATAAGACCTTCTAAATCCCCCTGCTGTAAAATTGCAACATGATGTAAGCCAACACCAGTTCCCATGGTGACAGACATCTGGTTCAGATCATTGACCTTATTTTTTTGGATGGAGAAGAAGGTAAATATAATAAACAAGAATCAGATTTTTTTGTCTCGCACGGGATGAAGAGGATAATTTAGTAAGTACAATCCCGGATGGTTTGTTCCATTTGCCCCTCTCCCCAGTGATGATGAGTGGAGTGATGCAGGTTCTGAGGAGGAGGAGACAGACCCTGCAGCAGCAGCCGGGTACCAGCTGTTACCTCAGGACCCTGACGCGGTCCCCAGCTCTCACCCCGAACCCACACAACAATCCAACAACCAGGGTACAGCTGCAGGCATCTTACTGGGAGTAGGAGGACACACCAGTCAGGTCCGTACATTGGACAAGGGAATTATTTCAGGACAGTTGTCCTTTTAAGTCTTCCGGCCCGTGCAATAACGGCCCGGGGTTCTTTTTGCAAAAGGCCCGGGCTTGCAAATGTTCCATAGAACGTTTTGCGTGCACCAAGTGCGCCACTTTCAAAACTTCAAACACCAAATTTGGATGTTGGAATTGACACCGTTACAGTTTTTGTTTAGATATACCAAATTTTGGAACATTTTGCATTGAAATGTACGTCTGTTTTCTCGGGTGGGTATAATATGAATAAAATACAGCACGGTGTATTCCACATCACCCTCTGGATCATTTTAGTGTCCTTCTGGAGTATAAATCAGTAAAATTGTTGCCGTGAAGAAGATGACAGACGGTCACCAAAATGTTGGATCTAAAACCCACTGTATTCTAATAACAAATCTTCTTATATACAAATAAATGGTATGCCTGATTCCTGTGTTCCCTCTGCTCAGGGTTTCCCCCTCCCTGCTGCCCCACACGTGGAGCACGATGACTTCATCATCGCTGCAGAGGAGGAGGACTCGGCCTGTCAGCAGCCCATGCAACCTGGTCAGTAATACAAACTCTAGCCTTTAGGCCACACCAATTTAATTTGTTGCTTCTCGGATCGCCCTGTCCATTTTTTCTGATTTGCAAAAAAAAAAAAATTTTTTGGGGTTCTAAATGCTCAATCAAAGACATATTTTGGCCCCAACGGTTGAAAAAAGTCCTTTTCTTCCAAGTTCTTAAGTTTTTCAATGTAACAATGACACATTGTTTCATTAAAAGTTCAAAATCTATTGTTTTAATTATAAACCAGCCTGGTATGTTCACTTCATGGCTCATATTGTAACATTTCAGGCTATCATGGGGTGCCTTGGCCTTTTTTTTTTCGCCTTGTCGCTCCTGATTTTTTCTGAAAAAATCCGAGAAACAACGATTTAAATTGGTGTGGCCATAGTATTACATGAATCATTGATAGATCTTAGATAGTGTTACCAACAGGCTTTTGGAAACTGGCCGGAAAGAGTTGAAATTGGCCAAATAGATAACACACCAGGGGAGTTGGTCCGCTATAGCAAACTGTACTCCCCATAACCGAGGGTTAGACATGCTTGCACACTGATGCTGGGGCTTGATGGCAGCTCGCGACTTGCCTCTGTCCTGTAGTTCTTGGGTACAGCAAATGTCAATACCCCTGCAGGTTAGTCTCTACAGCTTCACTGGCCAGCCAAATCCAAAGCTCATTACGATGTGTCCTCCTTGACTCTGTAGAACATGCAGGGGGAGTTGGTCTGCTGGCAAACTGTACTCTCTAGCTGACCAAATCCCAAAGCTCATTACAATTATCATGAAAGTTCATCTGTGTTGGTACTACTAACTTGGTAGTAATCATAGTAAAATGTTGAATTGTATTCCAGCACAAGGGTTACACAGAGATCAAATTTTCCATGACCACTGTCGGCTTTGTCAGGATGATTAATGACCAATCACTTCCGAACGTAAACTCGCAAGTTCAGTACAATCCTTTCCTCTGTTACCAACACAGATGAACTTATTATGAAGTAAGTTTAAACTGTAATTTCCAACACAACAAAAATTGGACTCACCCAAATTTTCGACTGTACAACTCCAGTCTTTTTCAAGGAATGAGCAATCCACTGCTTCCGTGACGTCACGCAGATAACACACGTGACTCCGTGAGCAGTGGATCATAGGTTGCAGAAAGTCTGTGGCGCCCCCCGTCTCTGTTGAGGGATGGCTGTAAAGCCCTGATGTAGATGGCCTCTTTAATCCCTCGTGCAAAAAAGTCCGGTTCTGTGTCCAAGATTTTTACTTTGGGTGAGTCCAATTTTTGTTGTGTTGGAAATTACAGTTTAAACTTACTTCATAATGACTTCTACCAACACAGATGAACTTTCAAGATACAGATGAACTTACATGATAACTTATCTGTCAAACTAACAAGAACTGGTATCTATATCATTACGATGATCCTTCCCCCTGTAGAGCATGCAGAGCTGGTGAAGTCCGTGATGGCAGGTTTCCAGCTGCCGTCCTCCGCCATCCCTCGATGGGCAGAGGAGTTACCGGAGGACCAGTGGAAGGCTGCCGTCCTGTCTCACATCGGGAAACCCTCAGAGAGTGCCGTTAATACTGCACAGGCAGAGGGCTCCAGTCATAGAAATAACCAGCCAGATGGTACATAGTGCCATGAGGAGGACCAGCAGAAGGCTGCCATCCTGTCTCACATCGGGAAACCCTCAGAGAGTAGTGGTAATACTGCACAGGCAGAGGGCTCCAGTCATAGAAATAACCAGCCAACAGATGGTACATAGATGCAATATATGATGTTAAACTTAAAGGCAGTATGGCATTCAAATCCCTATTATATTTACATGTATATTGCTATGATAGTTGTAAGTATGGGAGACACCCAGGGCATTTGGAACACATGAATAGATCCTGGGAATTAGCCTGGGTGCCATCCTATTTGTATCTCCAGAGCTCCCATATACTTGGTCCCTGAAAAATAGGGAGCGAGTATGGGAGCCCCAGCATACAAGTAGGATGGCACCCAGGCTACCTGGCCATCGCAAGCACGTCGGCAGAACGTACTGCGCCTGCGTGAAACCCTGATTTTTTACGGTTTTGGTTGCATGTTTGGTCAACGTTGCATCAGAATTTTGCCTGTTGCAGACGACATCTTTTCCCACACAACATTTGGAAACTACAGACGGGATGTTAACCTTATGTGCACAAATATGTCCTTATTAGAGACGTCCTGCTGAAGTGCTGTGCATAATACATAACAGGTTTTGCGCAGGTGCAGTACGTTCTGCCGACATGCTTGCTATATCTGATGTAAGGGGCAATATGGCATCGAAACATGATGAGACTGCTCATACCTGTACATGTATATTATTATAATACATTGCAGCTATATATGTATAGATTTGGGGGCACACATAAATAGATCCAGACCTTTGCAGAAAACATGTTAACAGCAAAAAATTGGGTATATTTAATGCATCCTCAGTCCTCTGGAAAATGTATATGTAAAAAAAAAGCCAATTACTGTTGTAGTATATACATGTACATGTATCTGTCAAATTTTCTTTATGTCTAACTTGTAGAAGTAGGTATTTCTAGCAGACATGGATTATGTGCTTTTCCTTAGTGGAGACTGAAAATCATTCCAAAAAATGAAAATGTTACTGGCAAGTGGTGTCTTAAGGGGAATCCTAGGAGATTTATATGAAGGGCACTTTCAGAACAACTGATGTATAGTGTGATAGAAATTGAAATATGCTCAACAGCTGTAGTGTTTCTCTTCATTTCCTGATTTTAACCTTAGGCCACACCAATTTAATTTCTTGGTTAACGGATTTTTCTAGAAAAATAATGGAGCGGGCGGGCGAAAAAAAAATTAAAATAAAAACAGGCCTAGGCATCCTATTATGGCCCAAATTGGTACGATAGGAGCCATGAAGTCAACACACCAGGCTGGTTCAAAATTTAAACAATGAATTTTGAACTGTTAATGATGCCATTGCATTGAAAGATGGAATGACTGTAACAGCTGGATGAAAAGGACTGTTTTCAACTGTTCAGGGCAAAATATGAGCATTTTGCAGTTGATTCTGAATTTTTATTTTTATTCGTAAATCAGAAAAAAATGAAGGGGGCGAATCCGTTAACCAAGAAATTAAATTGGTGTGGCCTTAGAAAAATTAAATGTAAATACCCGGTAGTCTGTTACTTCTAGTTCCTTCAATGTGTTGTCTACTAAAATAGATAATTCAGATAAAAGATGTAATGTTTGTTTATTATATGAGAAAAGGTGTTGAATATGGAACAGAAATTTGTGTTGGTGAACTTGGTAGTTGTGTGACCATTTTGAGACACAAGAAAGAAATTCAAGTCAAGCATATTAGAAATAAAACACAAAGCAAGTTTTTCTCAACAGCCAAGTATATTTTGCCAAGCACTTTAATGGTTGTAAAATCACAAATGTTGCAATTCAGTTGATACACGTTAACTTACATTGGTCCATAACAGGTTTGCTAAGCATGTGTGTATGCAGGTTAGTCAAATAATGATCCTGAAACATGTGTTTTCAAAACTTCACACAGAAATCAAAACTAATCCTTACCAGTATACATGTACCGTTACCTACTTTTGTACTTGACCATTTTCTTGGTCCTACATTCTACAAAACTCCCTATGAAACTCGCAAGGGATACAAAGTCCTGTAGGCTTTGCTGTGCACACAGAAGATCCTGTCTACAAAACACTTTTGGTATTCAACGGAGGTATCTTCTGTTTCGTAATTATACATTGTACCTCGATCAGTAAAAAAGTGAAAACATGAGTGTCAGGATACGGTGAATGAACAGGTGTTAACTTGTTCTTAAGATGTGGACGACCAAGTTTTCAGTGTACTTCCTTACGTACAAACCACCACCAGCTGCCACACTTCATACACTCCAACAAACAAACACCTGGAATGAAGAAGTGCCTTTGAAATAAATGTGTTTACGTCCATCAACACTAAGCACGTGGAAGAGAACCAAATGTCAATTTTAACCTTCGCATACAACCATTGACTAGTAGAGTATATTACCAGAACTGTTTTTTTGTTTGTGTGTTTTACAAAGCTTCCTACCATACTTAACATACTTTATGAAGGTATCATTTTCCTAGTCTGCAGTAAAGAAAGTAAGAGTAAGAAGATCACATGCTTTTTGGAAATCAGGATCCTTCCCATACAACTGATGGCAAACCTGTGAGTCCCTCCTACTAGTGTCTGTCTCCCCCCTGTTGCAGTCAGCACCCCTGTATGTTAAGCGTGCAAAATACCTGGTTGCCCAGTTGCCCCGGGCAACGCCCAGTTGCCCCGGGCAACTTATTTTTGAACCTAGGAAGCACAGTGTGCTACCTGAATTTTAAGAATCCCCCCCCCCCAAAAAAATCATGCCCACTTGGCTTGCACCACTATCCGGCAGATGCCTTTTAATTTTAGGCTATTACTAGTATCAGTTAACTAAAGGCTGTTAGAAATATTGTCAAAGGCATATGTATGTAACATTACTTAATTTGAGGAAAGTAGTAACTTATAGGTGGGGCAACCTAAAATTCTGATGGGTAACCTAATTCTTGCCGTAGGTTGCCCACTGGGCAACCTGGTTCAAAAAGTATTTTGTACACTGACTGGTATCTAGCGTCTGTCTCCCCTGTTGCAGTTAGCACCCCTGTATGTTAGAAACTTGACATGTAAAGACAGCAGAAGCTCCGTCCCTGTCCGTTAAAACCGCCCAGATCTCTCCCTGGACCGGGATCTGGACCGTGACCGGGATCCCCCGCCGCCGCCGGCCTTGCCCCTCCCGCCCCGCTCGCGCGACCTTGACCTCCGCGACCCGCCGCCACGCTCGTGTGACCTTGACCTGCGGGAGCCTCTGGTTGGTGGGGACCGAGAACGATCCCTGGACCGAGACCTGGCAGAACATGGGAAAGTGTCATCAGCACATGACTGAATCACTCAGATTGGATGGAGCAATGCTTCATAGAATACTAAAAACTACAGTTTCCATTTGGGGAATCACTACAAATATGAAATGCTTGATTTCCTTGTGTCATCCACAGTTGCTTAGCAGAAGTAATGGATGCTACTTGAGACGACAGTATTCAAAATCTATCCAGTTGCTTGAGTGACAATTCCCCTGTGTATCTCAGCTGGATGTCTAACCTTCATTGGGATAATTCAACTAACATTCGAAAGTATAAAATCATGCCTCAACCACACTAGTCACCAGTGGTGGTAGCTTTTACCATGCAAGCTTGAACACATTATTGGATATATGTTTTTCTTCCTTTACAACCAGCATTGTCTCTAACCTTACTTATGTTTCTGATTGTGTAGAAGAAAAACCCTATATGCTATGCTTTACCAACTTGATGAAACAGTTTTTGGAAATGAACACATTATTTATTCACAACTCCACAAACCTCCGTCTGCGGCGGCGGCGGCCGTACAGCTCTCTCCTCAGCTCTCGCGAGATCGGCTTCAAATGCATGAAGTTGCAAAATCCTCCACGAGTGCATTCTCTGGAGAGAAAAACATAAAAGACAAAACGTTTCAACTTCCAATCAACTGACAAAGGCAATCACTAAAGCTCTTATTCCAAACTCCTACTAAAAAAGGTTAAAAAGGCTGAAATAGCAGAAACGAGAGCAGTTAGGGGTATTCCTGGCATCCAGGCAAGACATTGCAAGCTTGAGAAAGGCACTTTACACGACTTTCCTCACTCCACCCAGGTGTAAAATGGGTACCTGACTTGGGTTGGGGAGGTAAAAGGGTTTTTTCTAGGAACAGGCCAAAATCAATGCGCGCGCGGACGTCATCCATAAAATTTACTTGGTGTGGCCTAACCGACGAAGACATAAATCTCTACTGACCCCATCTCGTACTGCCGACAGCAGGCTTCCCTGAAGTCGGTGACGGGAGACAGCTCTGCGTGGATCGGCTGTCCGTTGAACCAGCGGTTGTTCAGATCCTTCACAGCCTTTTCTGCATCCTCCTCATAGCGAAACTGTGAGGGCGTAATAAAATACTGAGTAGTGTACCAACAAAGACTGGATACTTCATACATATGTACTACTTTATTTTATCATGTGAAAACATGTATAGCACATGTAACAATTATATCTACATGGACCACAGGGGTTGAATTTTTTTTTTTCACAGCCTTTTCTGCATCCTCCTCATAGCGAAAGGGTGAGGGCGTAATAAAATACTGAGTAGTGTAACAGCATGGATCAGAACTGGACAGTAGTCCAGGACATACTTTACTGACAAGACAAGGCATCCACTGCAGATTCAAGTCATCACCAGCGTTTGTTAACTTCTGTATCAAAGAGTCTGGAAAACCAGTTCACTGAAGTGCTATTCTCCCACTGGCCGTAACAGACAAGACAGACGCTATGTACAGTATTTACAGGTTCATTGCACCAGGGAAATTTCCCTAGCCCTTTTTCAACAAGCACAGTGAACAGTGGACCAAGGTTTAATGTACCGTCCTAAGGACTGCAACCCTTTCCAGTAGCGTGCATGTAAGGCAAGTGACAACAGCCAGGATTCAAACTCCCAACCTCTTAGTCAAAGGGCAGTGTTGCTAACCACTAGATTACGCATGCTACCGTGGCTTTGCCAGTGTGGACATGTTGGACAGTCATCTGGAAATGTGGTGTGAAGACTAGCCGACTGGTGACTAGTGATGCATACCGGTTCACTGGACTTGGATCCGGACTTGTAAGAATGTTTAGGTTCAAGTCCAAAAAAACCTAAAAAGTCAAGAACCGAGTCCGGACTTATTACCATAAAAGACCATTTCACATACCCCTTTTCTTTCCAAACCACCTAAAACCTTCCGCAGATTGCAAAATCTTTGCTGCAAAACGAATAAAACATTGCCATCAGGCATCGTCAAGTACTGGCCTCCATGTTATGTGGCCAAAGTTTCACCCAGACAACATTGCAAGGTTGCCAACATGTAATTTTGTATATGCCATGGGTTTAGGTCCGGACTTACAAGTCCGGAACTGAACCTAAACCTCTGGACTTGAATCAAGACCTGAACCTAAAATTGGGTTTAGGTATGCAGCACTACTGGTGACTGCCTTTGTTATAAACAACATAAAAACCCATTAGTAGATCCTGCTGGACTCTCACCTTGACATAAACGTTCCCCACCAGATGGTCTCCCAGGTTATCACAGACATTCATCTCTTCAATCTCTCCATACTTCTCCTCCAGTTCTGTAAACACCTCCTGAAAACCGGACAACAGAGGGGCACATGTTAGGGGGCCCGCAAGCCCTTCTCCGTAGAGCGTAATCGGCCGTTTTAATTCTATGAATGAATGAATGAATGAATGAATGAATGAATGACTGGTTTATTAGGTAAAACTTTGCAGCCATCAGGCTGAAATACATTTCACTTACATAGTACATGAAAGTACGTTTCACTTACATAGGACACAACTCAATATGACGAATAGCATAAAATATTACAAAGTATTAAAATATTGATTAAAATAAAATATTACAATGACAAAACATCTGAGTGTGGTTCATTTACAACGAATTATTTGTTCGTGTTAAGCAGACTCAGTAGAGATGGTACAGGGCTGTTTTGAAATCGAGCAGTGCGGCAAGGCGCCAGTGTCATTTTGTTAGAGTTTCTTAGGTTCTACGTAGAGCGTAGACGGACCGCTCTAATATTTTTGCGTAGAGCGTATTTGGCGTTTTAATTCTACGTAATGCGTTGTAGCCATTTGGAATTTATCGTAAAGCGTAATCGAGAGCTTTCCGAATTCGGCGTAGAGCGTTGTTGGGACCCCCCCTTGCAGGCCCTCATGTTAGCTACGTTCTTCATTCACAATCACTCGTTTAACAAGAGCCGATGACCATCTGTCATCTTCATCAGGCAAAAAAAACACCTGCAAATCTGTCTGCTGTCTGCATGAATGGATTGATAATCATAATGAATGTACATACGACAAAAGTCGACAATACTTGTAGTTGTACTGACCTCAAAGAAGTTGTCATAATGCTCCTGCATCTCCACATCACTGATGTTGCTCACTGTACACAAAAAAAGACATAGTAAGCAATTTTGACATAGATTATTTGTATTATCAACACTACATGTATATTGCAGTTTGTATCACTTTGTAATACTTTCAGTGAGAGTGATGTAATCTATAAAATGTACATGCTGTTACTGATTACATGTTATTGATGGTAACAGATAGTACAAAAATGTATACTCACAGTGTGACCCATCTGCTGTCTGTGCACTGTTCTGAGGGTTGCGATACAGGTTTGGCATCAAGATGGTCTGTTAGAAGATGAAAAGGGAGAAACATTTACTTATTTATTTCATGTTACGCCAGTAACATGGTAAGTAAAATCAAATCATTCAACAAGTACACTGATACAGTGATACTGTAAGGACTGTACAATTACTATCATGCTAGTAGCATATGTTTATATATGAAAACTATTGTAGTCCAGGATAATTTTGCAGTATTTGGTAAATAATAATTTGTTTACAATCTGTTCAAATACCTGGCTGAACGTTGGCTTGTTGTGGAGTCGAGAACACCGGTCTCCATGGCGACAAGCTCCGATCTTGAAGTAGAAGGAGCAGTTAACCCTGGAGCAGACAGGCCAGAAATTATGTTCAGGTGATATATATATATATATATATATGAGGCCACACCAATTCAATTTCTTGGTTAATGGATTCGCCCGCTTCATTTTTTTCTGATTTGCAAATAAAAATATAAATTCAGAATCAACTGCAAGATGCTCATATTTTGCCCTGAACAGTTGAAAACAGTCCTTTTCATCCTAGTTGTTACAGTTATTCCATCTTTCAATGCAATGGTATCATTAAAAGTTCAAAATTCATTGTTTAAATTTTGAACCAGCCTGGTGTGTTGACTTCATGGCTCCTATCGTACCATTTTGGGCCATAAAAGGATGCCCAGGCCTGTTTTTTTTTTGTTGTTTTTTCGCCCTCCCGCTCCATTATTTTTCTAGAAAAATCCGTTAACCAAGACATTAAATTGGTCCGGCCTGAGCATTATTTTATTAATCTCCAGTCCAAGCAGATCCTAGGGTGGTGGCAAAAGAGGGGGCCGCAAGCCGTTTTCCGTAGAGCACTCTAATATTTTTGCGTAGAGCGTATTCGGTGTTTTAATTCTACATAATGGGTTGTAGCCACTTGCAATTTATCGTAAAGCATAATCGAGAGGTTTCCGACATCAGCGTAAAGCGTTGTCGTGACCCCCCCTTGCAGGCCCTCAAAAGACAGTATCAAATTGGCCGGGCAGTATCCATTCGCCAGAGAGGGGTTCAATATGCCACCCTCTGGCGACTGCACACTGCCTGACCAATTTGATACTGTCTTTTGCCGCCACCCTAGGATCTGCTTGGAGATTATTTTATAGGCACGTGTAGATCCCAACAGACCATAATATTTTTGAGTTGATGGTGGGAGGGCAAATAATTATTATGGCTACAATTCAGTACAAATGCAATCACATAGTGAATTGAATAGCTGTTACTGATCTTAAAGAAGAAATCATTGCGTTCTTGCGAAAGTTTTGCTCGAAGCCACTACTACACTACCAGAACCCCAAATTATGGCTGTCGATGGAAAATAAATAACTATTATTTGTCCGTAGACTCCATACAACAAAGCTCGGCAGCATGAGACACTAGAACTTAGAAGCATGCATCAAAACTCAGCTCAGGAAAAAGCCACCACGACCGCTAAACTCAGCCTCTACAGCCTAACGTTTGATCCAACCCTTTCCTTTCGTGCACACGTTTTACATCGTATCTAATCGCATTTTCCCGCAGCCACGGCGGTGTAAAACTCACTTGTCTTTCTCCGTGCCGAAAATGGACGCCAGATACTCCGCCATGTTCCCTCCTCTCCGCCGGTCACGTGATGCAGACGTCACCGCTTCCTGTGCACACAGAAATGACGTACTCTCCAAGCAGAGGTTTGGGTTTTGGGTTATCCATTTTTGGCGTGTTTTTAGACTTTTTTTATCGGGGTTTCTTTTTTTGCACTGGAATTTTCCTTTCACCCGTGCAAAAAAGAAACCCCAATAAGAAAAAAGTCTAGAAACACGCCAAAAATAACCCAAAACCCAAACCTCTGCTTGGAGAGTAGAAATGACGTACGCAAAACTGGGGTCTGACCCGCCACCGGAAGTGCGTATGTACACAAAGCCGTGCGGAACACAATTTTTGGTAGGCACAAAATTTCCTCCTTTTTTTGCCGTGTGTAACCATCTTTACATTAGGATGTTACTGCTTCCCGTTTCTTTAGTTGTTAGAGACAAGGCTAAGCCTGATCTTTTGTTCAAAAGCTGCCGTCTGGGACCTTGAAAGGGTTCTGAACCTGCTACAAATGGTGCAAAAATAATTTACGTCCGGTCTCGTCAAGTCGGCTAGCGCTTCCTTTATATAAATTATAGCCACAACTATCTTTAATATAAATTTTTAATATAAATATCTCTGCATAATTTTGGTGTTTTCAAACATTCCGTGTATTATAGTTTTTGATAGGCAATACTCATAGGACCTGCATCCAAAGTGTGCTGTAGCGTCAGTTCTGGATCTTTGTTAAAGGCTTCCAGTGCAGTTTTTAGGGCCTGGAAACCTCATTTTTCAAAGCCAATATTCTAGTCATTTATATACATAGTGAGTTGAAACCACACTATCCCAAATAATTTTTGAGGGTCAATATACATTATGTATATATATATCAAAATTCCCATAATTCTGATGAAAAATTGCCCCGGGGTGATTTTTAGGGTACCGCCCAGAAAATAAAAGACTCGTATTGGGCTTGTTTTTGCAGTTTTAAATACCCAAAGTATGAAATGCTGATTTAAATAATGTGAAGCAGTATGTGTCAATATCACAAGATTGCCCTGTTCAGAATATTTCCAGTTTTGCTTCCCTTAAATCGCAGTGGATGTCTTTAATGAAGCTAGGTGTTAAAATTTATATGATATTCCTATTTAACAAGCCTCTTCATGAAAGCTAAACTTCAACACTACAGAATTTACTGTATGTATACTTGACCTCATAAAATGTTTGATATTTTGAAAAGTTATGTTCCACTTCTCAATAGTTTTCATCGACATAAAACTTCTCTTTCTCGATTTATAAGCTAATCATTAACATCAAGACAGTGCGTTATACCATGGTTACTAGTAATATTATGACATTTATGTATCAATATACTACTTTAGTAGTAGTTTTGCCGACCATTTTCACATTCATATTGAATTTCCATTTTCCTGTATGTTTGTTATGTTTCAGGTTGTTGTTGACAGAGTCTAGATCATCATGAACCTAAACAGAGTTAAGGATGAGGACAAACTGGAACTCTGCAGGAAATACTATTATGGTATTGTAACTTTATTTGTCATTCACATGACAAAGGACATCATATATTATACATGTGTATTAATAGAAATGTCCCTGACGTGAATAAAGTGCATGTGTCATGTCCAAAGCGAAGGGAGGGGGCTACAAGCCTTACCAATAACCCAGAATACATGGCCTCTACAAATAGCACGTCGGCAGAACGCACTACACCTGCGCGAAACCCATAATGTATTGTGCATAGCACTTTGGCAGAACGTCTCATATAAGGTTGTATTCGCGCATTTAAGGAAAACATCTTGTCTGTAGTTTCCAAATGTTATGTCGGAAAAAATATCCTCTGCAACAGAAAAAATCCTAATCCAACGTTGACCAAAAAGTGACCAAAAACCGTGAAAATACAGGGTTCTGCGCAGGCGCAGTACGTTCTGCCGACGTGCTTCTACAAATGTATGTATAACTGGGAGACTGACCACAACAGGCCTTTTTTGCTCGATGTAGGCTATCACTTGCCACTGATTGGGACTTATTCAAAGACATATTGATAGGTTATACATTTTAGGAAAATTTTTAGATGGTTATATGTGATGATGTCCTTGCAAAATTTTACCTTTGAAATGTAGCAATAATGAAAAGTTGTTGTTTAAGGGTACCAAATGAAAATAAAGTCACCTATTTCAAAACATGTACTCCATATATAATGAAACTCCCCCTATTTTGCAGGTGGTTTCTTTGCCCTCCCTTTCCTCTGGTTGGTCAACGTTGTCTGGTTCTTCAAACAGGCCTTCATTCGGCCACCTTTTGAACAGCAGCAAGAGATCAAGTCATGTAAGTAATACTCTTTATGTCCACATTGTCCAGAAAGTACTGTAAATGCATTTATGTTCGTGAGCACTAAATTTCGCGCAGCGGAGCAAATAGAGAGTTCGCGAGGGATTTTAGTTCGCTATACAGCAGAACCAAATACGAAAGGGAATGTATGACATACCCCTCATAAACTACATGTACATATATATAAACTACATATATGTATATATATATATGTATATTTACAATATCAACAATCTACTGAAGAAGTGTCACTTCCAAGTGTTTGTGCCCACAAGGACCCACAAAAACACGAAAATGTACATCATGAATTATCATTGTGAAATAACTCTTAATTTCCTTCCATGCATTTCAGAACATGCAAGTGCTTGGCAGTTGCTGTTTCTGTTTTCCACCTTTCTCTAACACCTCCTTGGTTTGTTCCAGAATATTGGTTAAAAAGGCAGTCTTGTCTCTGAAAAATAAAACAACTGTTTTTTTGTTTGTTTGTTTGTTTTTTTTGCTGTAAACAGATATCATGAAGTCGCTGGTTGGCTGTGTCCTGTGGACAGCTGTGCTGGTGACATGGATGACGATATTTCAGCTGTACCGGGCCGAGTGGGGAGAAACAGCAGACAGGATGTCCTTCATCATCCCCAAGGGCATCGCCTAGGCAACACATCATGGCTGCCAAATATCTTTTTATCTGCAGTTTGGCTACGAAATGGATTTGATTCATTTAGTACCACTTTATTTTAGTTTATGTTGCTCACTGTAAAAAAGTGTACTAAGATCTCAAGATTTCCACGAGTGTAAGTTATACCCCGGTACATTATACAAAATTTAATGTATTATATTTTGGTCTCAACTTTTACAACTATGATGATGATATAGAATGAATCATTGTATTACAAAAAATTTATTGATAAATAGAGTTAGGGATTATTTAATTGATAAAGTCATACCATATACAAGTGCAAGAATAGGGTAACATTACATGTGTATTAAACCTCACAAACCACAGATAGTAGTAGTAGTAGTAGTTAAATGTGCAGCAAACGACATGTTTTGTTTTCTGACTTTAACGATATTCCCACCGTAGAATAATTTCTATTGGGATATTCCGTCAGCAAGGAAGTTGTATATAATATAAGTGTGCAACATCTTTTCTCATTAAAAAAAAACAAGATACTGTAATGATTTATTTTCTGTTCACCTTTCTTGCCCTGAATGTGTTGAGAACTGGAGATTCCCACTTTGATAGTCCCCGAGTATGAACATTATAAAGATTTGCAGTTTTGTAATTGGAATGGACCTATCACATTATTACGTCACAGTTTGTTTACCTGTTCTAAAGAACATTCTAGAACGGTCAGTTAGAGAATAAAGATCATTTCAAAGTTTTCAAAGTCAGGTATGTTTGATTTTTGCTGCGTCTAGTTTTGTTGACACAGCATTACATGCCGCACGGGTGATTTAGTTGTGACATTAATTAGACAAAAGTAGTACTGTATAAAGGCCTTATATTAAGTCTAACGCTACACAAACACACACCGCGCTACGCACCCCTATACAATATAAACGTCTATTGACCGGCATTCATTGCGGTAAACAAACTGTGACGTAATAATGTGATAGGCCCATTGAACTGTCTTTAATGTGTTCAGCTTGAGAGCTACCTTATATGGAAACTTCCCTAGCCTGCCAGGTTCCCACCGTAGTAGGCCTGGCCTGACAGCAGCTGTGGGGTGTCCATTTCAGTCTACTGTACCAGGAAGAATTCAGGGTAACGCATGGGGCTATTAGGCCACACCAATTTAATTTCTTGGTTAACGTATTTTTCAAGAAAAATAATGGAGCGGGCGGGCGAAAAAAAGAAGAAAATAAAAACAGTCCTAGTCATCCTATTATGGCCCAAAATGGTACAATAGGAGCCATGAAGTCAACACACCAGGGTGGATGAAAATTTAAACAATGAATTTTGAACTTTTAATGATACCACTGCATTGAAAGATGGAATAACTGTAACAACTAGGATGAAAAGGACTGTTTTCAACTGTTCAGGGTAAAATATCAGCATTTTACAGTTGATTCTAAATTTTTATTTTTATTTGCAAATCAGAAAAAATGAAGCAGGCGAATCCGTTAACCAAGAAATTAAATTGGTGTGGCCTTAGGGTTGGTTAAACATGTACAATGGTTTTTCAAGGTTCCTGTTATATTTGAAAATCTGTGGAATCCATTGGGAATTCTAGTTTCCTTTCAGACAAGTGTGCTGTGCATGCAGACATTTCATCTCCTTCATTTCCACTTTAGATTTGTCCATTACAATGTCATCATAGATACAGTGTACAAAATACTTTTTTGAACCAACCTACGGCAAAAATTAGGTTGCCCATCAGAATTTTAGGTTGCCCTACCTATAAGTTACTACTTTCCTCAAATTAAGTAATGCTACATAAGCCTTTGACAATATTTCTAACAGTCTTTAGTTAAATGATACTAGTAATAGCCATTAATACCTAAAATTAAAAAGCATCTGCCGGATACAGTGGTGCAAGCCAAGTGGGCATGATTTTAGGGGGGGGGCATTCTTAAAATTCAGGTAGCACACATAGGTTGCCCCATGTAAAATTTGGTTGCCCGGGGCAACCAGGTATTTTGCACGCTGAGATATAAGACATTCAGTTCCATGTACCTTTTCATCCCACTCACATTGATAAAGAAGCACCAGAGCATAACAGATACCCAGTACAGCCAAATAGAGCAATATTGCAATTTATTGAGATAATTTGTTGTTTTTTTCCCTTTTCCAATCATGTAGCTTGTTACATGAAGTGGCACATCTGTTTATATTCCTCACTATTATAATGGATATCACTATCAAATAGCCTGATAACATTTGGTGCCAATGAATAGAAAAGCAAGTTCCGGGTACATGTAATTTACTATTTCCATGTTCATGTACAATATAGAAGCAGTTTCCTTTGTAGCTGTAAACATTGTCCTCGTCATTTAATATTCAATTCAATAGACCTACCGCAGCTCTGTCTGGATCATACTATATAGGAATAGCGTTGAAGATATCATACCTCAATTTTCCGGCATCTACCGGTTCTTCTGATTATCAAACCATACTCTGGCACTCTTCACTAATCATCAGATAAGATAAAACTATTCTGAACTATTATTTGCATAGCAGCTTTTATGCCAATATCAGGGTCAACAGAAACAAACTGAATGACAACCTAGAATATCACAAACAGAAATGAATTGAAACAAAAGCAGTCAGCAAACTGGCTAAAATCACATGGATGGCAACTGATCATCATTCTGAGATACTTGTAAAAACTCATCAGGTCTCTATATATGTCTGTACAATATGAAATATTTTGCTGTTGAGAAAGATAGGTACAGTATGTTACAACCTTGTACATACCTCACTGAGCATGTATTATTACAAATCACCATAACATATATATTTGTTCTGTAACAATGTAGTAATGTACCATACTTAAAATGATGCAAGGGCATTTGTACTCAATGCAATTGGTAACATGTGAAACATGAGCCCTTTTGCAATATACGTAACTTTTGAAACATACTAGATCTATGGCTCATCTTGCAATGCTGTATAATTACGGAGTCAAACTAAAAATGTAATATACATTGTACTTGTATATGAGTTTGATCTGAAAATCATCAGGAAAGAATTAACTCACAAATACTACTACACCAAACTGTTCCAGTTGTGACCTATACCCTTCTGTTGCCTGCATCATCAAATTGATAAATGTAATGGACATTACACATACAATGTATATGAGCTTGATCAGAAAATCATCAAGTAACATCAAGTACTAATGCTCCAAACAGTTCCAGTTGTGTCTTATACCCTTCTGTTTACCTGCATTATCAGTTAGGCCACACCAATTGAATTTCTTGGTTAACGGATTCGCCCGCTTCATTTTTTTCTGATTTGCAAATAAAAATAAAAATTCAGAATCAAAATGGTCATATTTTGCCCTGAACAGTTGAAAACAGTCCTTTTCATCCTAGTTGTTACAGTTATTCCATCTTTCAATGCAATGGTATTATTAAAAGTTCAAAATTCATTGTTTAAATTTTGAACCAGCCTGGTGTGTTGACTTCATGGCTCCTATCGTACCATTTTGGGCCATAATAGGATGCCCAGGCCTGTTTTTTTTTTTTCATTTTTTCGCCCGCCCGCTCCATTATTTTTCTAGCAAAATCCGTTAACCAAGAAATTAAATTGGTGTGGCCTTATAGAGTCAAATACTTCTGCTCCAAACTGTGTCCTATCATACCCTTCTGTTAGCCTGCATCATCAGTGGTTTTCCCGCGTGTTTCTCGTTATGTCTGCGGAGGACATCGTCCAACATCAGCCCAATCCTTTTCTTGGCGGAGCTCAT